CTATCACATACACACCCAGAAACGGGCCCAGAGAAGGAAATGGGTTACTCAAGTTCACAGGTCAGGAAAAAGCAACAGCAGAGGTCCCTTGTGCCCCAGAACATGGTTCCCACCCTCTTGCCCACCTCATTCACCCCACTGGCCCTGGGTGGTGAGTGAGTCATGGCTAGGGCAGGTCGCAGGGCCTTCAAGCCCTCCAATCCGTTGTGTGGCCATTTGGGAACATGTGGCCTTTAGACCTAGATTGCATTGCCCCACTCAAGATTGAAACCAGTGTGTCTTTTTTATTTTTTTCTTTAAAAATTTGGAGGGCAATTTTTTTGTGTGTGTGTTACTTGTTAATTTCTGGGGCTATAGCTCAGTGGTAGAGCACTTGCCTCACACGTGTGCGCACTGGGTTTGATCCTCAGCACCACCTAAAAATAAAAAGATATTGTGTCCATCTACAACTAAAAAACAATTTTAACAAATAAGACTTTAAAAATTACAATCAGCAGCAATAGCATTACCAGCTCACAGCTGACATTCCCATTACTCATTAGCACCACCGGCCCCAAAGTCATCCCCCTCCCCAGCATCAGGGTATGACTGTACTCCAACCCCCGCCCAACTCCCAACCCTCTAGCTAATGTGCTCCCCTTTCCCCGCCCTCCATACATGTCTCTCACATGGCCCCAGAATCAAGTAGAAATGGTTTTCCACCATCGACATTTCATTTCTGTCCCCCAGTCTCACCCTGCTCCATGATATTCCAGGATCCTAAAACCATCCAAATCTGTACCCTTCCCTTGCTCCGAAGATCCCTGGGCCTAGCCTGTCCTGCAGAAACTCTGGGCTGGGCTTTGGTCCAGAAATCTTCCCTGGGACTGGCAGCCAGCAAGGGCAGCCGGGAGGGGCAGGAGGGATGAGCAGCCCCCTCCTCAGGCCTGGTGCCCCACCCACCCAGCCGGCGGCCTGTCTGCCTTCCTGAGCTCATTAACTGCAGGTCACTGTTCAGCAGGAAAGACAAGGCGTGGGTTCTGCGGGCGTTCATTAGCCGTGAGAGGAACAGTGTGTGTGAAATTAGCAGTCACCTGAGGACCTCGATAATTTCATAATTAGGAGGCCTAATGGCTCCAGCTCTGGATGCCAAATGACTTAACCCCTCGCCTGCTGGGCCCCCAACCCCTGGCCCACGGCTGCAAGGGAGGGTCGGTAGTACCCTCTCTGCTCCAGCTCCGCTCTCTGGGGCCAATCACATCCATTTTTGCCACCCCAGCATCCAGCAAGGGCTGGTGTGAATGAGGTGCAAAAGTTAAGTTTATGGAGTGAATGAATGAATGCAGGAATGAATGAACAGGTGTCTGAATGGGGAAAGAGCTGCAGCCCCCACTGCAGGTGCTCAGGGGAGGGGCACTCCAGAAAGAGGTGAGGAAGGGTTCTCTGTCTGCCTGAGTAGGTGGAGGCTGGGCACATGCCTCTGTGTGTGTGTGTGTGTGTGTGTGTGTGTGTGTGCGTGCGCGTGCATGTGTGCGCACATGCAGACATGTGAGCATGAGAGCACACACACGTGGATCTGTGATGTCTGCTTCTAAGAACCTGGCATGTGTCTATGTCCGAACTGCCATCTGTGAGCATTTTCTGCTGCCTCCTGTCTCTGTGACGGAACCCAGGTGCCTCCCTTGATGCCAGCCTCTCTTAGCACCACTTGAATAATGGTGGCTCTAGAATGCCCACTGGGGGAGCTTGGAGGCATTCTTGGCCAGGAACGTGGTCCTAGAGAGCTTGCTTTGAATCTGCTATGCAAGTGTCCTCTTTTTACTTAGATTGAGTGTTCATTTGGGATCCTGAAAGATTGAATGAGAAGCTGAAGTCACACCTCTTAGCATAGGGGAGCTGGTTAGGACAGCCTCCAAGACCATCCCGCCTTCTCGGTCTGTCCTCCCTCCTCCCGGCCTTCCCATGATACTACAGAGAGGAAGGCTGAGGGATGGTGTCCAGGGGGCTCCTGACCTGGTGCAGGCCTTCTTGCAATCAGGGACAATTGGTTCTGAGCCTCCCTAGACCCTGCCTCGCTCCCTTGCTTGCCCTGATTGTAGAGAGGGGATTTGGGAGTAGTTGAGCAGGGAGAGAAGGAAGGAGGATGAAGGGAAAGAGGAGATGTGGAGAGAACAATAAAGAAAGAGAGGGGAAAGGGAGGGGATGGGGAAGAGATGGGAGGAGGAGAAAGGATAGGAAGTCTGAAGGAGGTGAGAGAGGAGGGGAGGGGGAGCAGGGAGGCTGAGAGCATTATCAGCACTTAAAAAGCGAGCAGCTCAGTTCTTCTTTGGCACAAATAATGGCTTTTTATGAATAAATCATGTGTCAGACGCCTCCCAGGGAGTGGGCATAGAGGGGGGCGCGTCTGCTGGGCTCCAAGGCTGGCGGCAAAGGGCCAGTGGCAGACCCCCAGCTGTAGGGGTGTTGCCCCCTTTCTCCCGTTGGGGCCCAGCAGGACAGAAACTGTCTCTGGAATTGTCACTGACCTGAGTCAGGCAGAGCTCAGTCATGACTCTGAGGGGGTCTCTTGCTTCCTACACATGAGCTGGGCTGGATCCCAGGGCCTGGACAGTCCCTCTGTTTTCCTCCCCTCCCCTCCAACAAACAACATAGAGGACACTCCTAGCAGGGGAACACCAGCTCCTGAGAGAGAGCTGTGTGCCAAGACAGGCAGGCACACCCACAGAGGAAGCCACACGGTACACATGTGGAAATCAGGAGAGCACTAGCACAGCCCTGGCCTGCATATCCCCAGACACACGTGTGGGCACACTCAGAGATGGACATGCCATCATTCACACACACACACACACACACACACACACACGAGCCCACACAGACAGCTGCATATGGGGTCACACGGACACACACAGACCTGCACACGCACACAGCAGCCCACCCTCCATCAGCCTAGGGCGGGGGCAGCTTTACAGCCCATATGGAGTCCAGACCCAACTGGGCCATCTCAGAGTCTGGTTATGGGGTGGAGCTGGGGCATCTGTCCCAGGCGAGGGCCTGTCGGTTTCTGTGTGCTCCCCACCCTGCAAGGACACCCACATAGCACACCATTGAGGTCTCAGGCCCCAGATCTGATCTTCAACCTATGCAGGTCCAGCTCCTTGCCTACAGCCACTGCCTGGGGCACAGGTGCCCCAGGAGAACCTGGGTATTGGAAGGTATACAGTCAGGGCCAGGGCCCTGGTCTGCCCCTTGCTAGTAGTGACCTCAGACAATGATTCCAATTCTATTTGCTCCTTGAACAAATCTTCAAGACAAGTGCTGCTGCCTCATCTTGCAGACCAAGAAAGTGAGGTTCTTGGAGGCAAAAGTACTGGGCACCCTATCTAGGACCATTTTCTTTTCACAAATTCTAGGACCCACTGTGTCCTGTTTTCCTTCTCGTCTCCCCCAGGTCCTCTTTCTCAGCTGATGGGTTTTCCTTCCTGTGCCAAGGGGTCCTACGGCATTCATCAGAGCAGAGCTGGTTCCTTGCTCACCCCACTCTGTGATGCTCCACTCCCAACACCCCCACAACAACCTCTGTACTCCCGATTCTCTGACTTCCCTCTCCTGTCCAGATGCCTTCCTGGGCTCTGTCCCTGCTAACCAGGTGGACATCTCTAGGCCAACATGTTGCCCAATGTCAGAGAATTCTATTTGCACAGTAGAAATGTCCGTGAGCCCCTATCCTCCCTCCCAAATCCTGAGGAATCCCATAGCATGTAACTTAAATTGAGAATGTCTATGGCTGATGAGCAGGCCATATCCCAGGGGGGCTCTCTCTTCCTTGATGTTCCCCATGTCAGGGAATGGCCTTGTCTGCCCAAGTACTCTACCACCACGGCCTCCTCTCCTTGACCTCCCATGGACCAATCACCACCAATTCCCATGAGTCTACATCCAAAATACATGTGAACTCATCATTTCCCACCCATCCCCACTGCTCTTGCCCATCTCCTGGTTCGATCCACCATTGGCACCCCTTGCCTCTCTCACTGCTGCCCATTCTAGCCCGTTTGCCTCCCTGCACCAGCAATTTTTCCACCTCTGAGCCTTAGCCACGCTCAACTGTTTTTGCCTATGGAAGCCACGTGCTTTCTCCACTCTGGCTTTTCCCCTCTGAATCCCTTCCCTTCCCTAAACCAACTCTTCCTTCAAGGCTCAGCTGAGATAGCTTCTGCTCCAGGGCCAGCTCATCATTGCCCCCTACAGCAGACCCTGCTCTTCCATTCATCATAGCTACCATCCATAGTTGTCTACCTACCCATGTCCTCCACAAGCCTCTAAGTTCCTCAAGGCAGAGCTGTGCCAATGCTGCTGTCTGTGGCAGTCTCTATGCCTGAAATAAGAAATGGCACTTAATAGGACCTCACTAATTATCACTGAAGGAATTTTTGAGTGCAAGACCTGCACTGAGTACTTTATATACCTTTCTTATTTACTTGAGATGGGGGCTACTATGAATGCTATGATTTAAATGACAAAAACAAGGCTTCAGAGGTTGAAACTGTGCCCAAGGTGACACAGCTGGTATCCCAGAGGACTTCAGCAGAAGTCTGCACCTTCAAAGGATTCTCTTCCCACCTTCCCAAGTTATTTGCCCTCTCTGACCTTGTTTTCTCATCTATGAGAACAAAAACTGCACCCAACACAGGGCCTGGCAGAACAGGTTCTCAGAAAATACCTGTGCCCTCTGTCCCAACCTCAAAGGCTTAACTCAGGGTAATCTCCCCAGGTCTGAAACTTCCCCTACCTGTTCTCAGAAACAGGTGCAGAGCTTCCTAAGGCATATCGCCAGCATCAGGAACTCAGTAGGCGCTTAATCAACGTATGCTGAGCAGACCAGCACCTGAGAATGCTGATGTGCACCCAGACCAAAGCCACAGTAGGGGCTGGCACAGGGACCCTCATCGCCCCTACCCCCACAATCCTTTACAATTATCCTTCACCACCGCCGCCCCTTCTGCTAGCCAAGGCGCGGGAAATATTTAAAACAATTTTATTCATGAAAATATGCTGTACAATGCACTCTACACGGCCTGGACACGGCACACACGCACACGCACACGCTGACGGCACGGCCACAGTACACTGCCTACGATACGCGCCGGGGACGCCGCCCTCACCGCCCGCCCCGACGGGACACTTATAAATATAGGAGAGGGGCCAGGACTGGCACGGAGAAAGGGGTGGTAGATGGGGTGGGGTGGTGGATCCAGAGCTGAGGCCTGCTGAAGAGACTGAGACCAGTACTGGGGATGTGGGGGTTGAAGAAAGGGACAGACTGCCATTGGGTTAGGGTGGGAATGGGGGCGGCTAGAATGTGAGGGAGCGGCTGAACCATGGGGATGGGGGTCTACAGAGGGCAACCTCGGACTGCTGGGGTGGGGGCAATAGGTAGGTGTGAGTGAGTTTTCAAGAGAGGGTTGCTGGCTTCCAGTGGTGAGGCTAAGACCAGTAGGGAAAAGTGTCAATTGAGAATCAAACTAGAGTGTGGGGTGGGCTATGCATCACGTCACCTCAAGGGCTCCACAAATGAAACTGAAGATTCGGAATCGCTCCCTGCCCCGTCTCCTAGTTGGCCTCTCCCACCAGCATCCAAACCAGGTGGCCCACCATGTTCCTTCCCACTCCCACGTGGCCCAGATTTCAGCCTCCTTTCCCAGGCTTTCTGCCCCGGGAGGAGGGGGAGCGGGTCTCAGGAATTGGGGCAGGAATGGTGGGGTGCCCCAGCCCCTCCCTCTCTCTTCCCTCTGTGGTCAACTTCGGAGCGATGTCTTTAGCAGGGCTGGGGCTGCCTCCTGGATCCTCCCCGTGGAGCTGGATTGGGGCTGGGGACCCGGGGATCAGGATGGGAAGACAGAGGCCCCCTGGGGAAGGGACCCGGGCACCCAGGACGCAGGAGGCGGTCCTCAGCCCGGAACCCAGCTCTGGTTAGGAGGCGGGGCCCCGGCCAGGCCGGGAGGCGGTGGAGGCAGGGCTGAATCAAAATTGAAGTCCATTTCGTCGCTGTCCATGAAGTCGTTGAGGATGATGGACTCGACGTCACACTCAAGACTCCCGCTGAACATGTCGAGGTCCAGGTCCGCCGGGAATCGGTCGGGCGCCGCACCCAACGGCCCGGCGGC